GCTATTATCCAACGAATCCGCAGAAGCTGAAATGAGTTGAATCGCCACAATCCAAACTTGTTATCACGAAATAAAAGGGAAAATGGTAGCAAGTTACACTAATGTAGAAGAAGCTAGGGGAACAAAACAGGAGTGTACCGCCTCAGCTTCGTTCCTACAACTGGTAAAGGTTCGAATGCCTCATTTTGACGGGAAACTACGCAAGTATCCGCAATTTAAAAGAAACTTCCAGAAGCAAGTTATGACGCAGACCCGAAAGGGTGATGCAGCATACTTCTTACGCACCTGTCTTGACGGGGAGCCCGCGAGACTAGTGAAAAGCGTAGACGACGACAATATATATAGGGATATATATATATATATCCCTACATAATTAAAGAGATTAAAACTAGATCTACAAGCGCAAACTGTTAAAATATGGAATCAGAAATCTCATGCCTTAAGTGCATTTGAAACAATGAAACTTTTATGAAATCTCCCAGTCTTGAAAACCGGGTCGAACATAGGCTTCCCTTTGTTGCTTTCGACATTTTTCCATTTCTTTAGAAATAATTCAGCATTATTTAAAAGAGTGTTTGGATCTGGAGTTTCTTTTGACCGCATCTCCTCGAGGTCAGAGGGATCCCTGTACATTAACCGTAGATCTCGTAAGTAATGCCGAGAATAAAACGGGTGGCGCTTTGATAAGTTGGTACTAACTCGCTGCAAAGCATGGAAAATATATAGTTGTACAACACGATTTCCCCCCCAAACCTCTTGTAACTTCTTTTTCCAGTGACGGCAGTTGTCAATATAAAATTCCTTAACAATTTTTCCTTGGCTGGATATTATCCAAAACAATTGTTGTAGAAGGAGACGGATGTTTTCAAAACCTTGCGTGTGAGCCGGTTGCCATGTCACAATTTGTCCTTTTTCGTTCATATCACGAAACAATGAATTGCATTGTCGAATCCACTTTCTATCTTCTCTTCTCTCATATCCAATACTGCCAGTTATATTAAAAGTGTGATCGCAACAAAGCCATTCTTCGTCCGCTGAAGTTGATGTCATACGTTTTATAAACAAATTCTCATTTAAATCAAAGTAATGTAGAAAAAATTCAGAAATTGTATTTCGACTGGGACATTCTTGTTACTAACTAAACGCTGGAAAAGAAGAATCTATAGGAGTTTAAATCTCCCAAAAACCTGCTTTCTTGTTCCAAGTGGCGCACGTGCAACCGTTCGAGCACAATATCGTGAATTTGAGAAAAGGACAGTCAATTTCGCACCATAGAAACAAACAAATCAAGCAGTTTTTTAGTAACTCCGCTTTTGTGAGAAAGTATGAAAGGTAGTCTAACCCGACTTGTGATCATGGCCAATATAATGGGATCATGTCCATTAATTTCGTGTTCAGCAGAACAACAAAACACACGACTTATGAAAAAAACTTTTCCAAATAAGCCATACATTTTTCTCGGCGTATGACGACGCAAGCGACCATTTTCCCATCCATTTAGTCTTACAGAAATGGCTTTACCATCTTCGTTGCAGTTGGGACAAAGGAATTCAGGTATCAAAAACTACCTCAGCTGTACATGCGGCTCCCATACTATAGCATTTTGAAGGAAAAAGGAAGATGGGTCTGGAAATGCATCAAGTAACACGTCTAGTCTTTGCTCAACAGGAAGAATAGTACAAGCAGCGTGTCTTTAAAGAAGACGCTGAACAGTTTGTTTCAACACGGAATTAAAATCTTTATTTTCCATCAATGATGCTACAACCCAGGACAAAACTGTTGAGACATTTCAAATGCAATTTTTAATTTCCCGCCATGCAACAATCGTTTCCAAAAGGAACAAACTTGCCCCCCTCCCCACCCTGGTGCAATGTTGTTGGGGCTTAACAGCTCAAACATGCATTTCTTGTGTTACCGCAAACAACATTGCAATAGGGGAAGCGGGAAACAATCTTTGAATTTGCAACGGTAAGCATTTTTGTCAGGGTGAGTGCAAAAAAATAGGTATTTTTTTAATATGTCTCAACGGGTTTTGTCCGAGGTTGTATGTTAAAACTGACCAACAGACTAATTGTAAAGAAAACACACTTAAGGGCGTGACTCGCGATCATGGATCAAAGAATAAGAACGGGGATGCTTTTTGAACGAAATTTTGCGTGCTCAGTTAAGCTGTTCGGTAAGTGTTGGGTATTCATTGAAGGCAAAAGGTGCACACTTTTCGCACATTTTAACAGCGGAAGTAGGGATTTTCCACACTTCCGCGGGACAGCTTTTCCCGAAGTTCTGGAGATTTGATATTTTTCCTTTTGGAATTCAGTTTAGTTAAATAAGAATAAAATCGATCTTTTCGGTCGACCAAGCTGAAGCTTAAGGTTACTTTTTACCTTCGCGGGTGTTCTTTTGTTCTTGTCCTCATGTCCCCTGTGCCCACTGTTTCTCTGGTCCCTGTATCCACTGGTCCTCTGTACCCACTGGTCCTCTGTTCCCACTGTTCCTGTGGTCCTCTGTTCCCACTGTTCCTCTGGTCCTCTGTTCCCACTGTTCCCACTGTTCCTCTGGTCCTCTGTACCCACTGGTCCTCTGTTCCCACTGTTCCTGTGGTCCCCTGTTCCCACTGTTCCTCTGGTCCTCTGTGCCCACTGTTCCTCTGTTCCTGTGGTCCTCTATTCCCACTGTTCCTCTGGTCCTCTGTGCCCACTGTTCCTTTGTTCCCACTGTTCCTGTGGTCCTCTATTCCCACTGTTCCTTTGGTCCTCTGTTCTCACTGGTCTTCTGTTCCCTCTGTTCCTGTGGTCCTCTGTTCCCACTGTTCCTGTGGTCCCCTGTTCCCACTGTTCCTCTGGTCCTCTGTGCCCACTGTTCCTCTGTTCCTGTGGTCCTCTATTCCCACTGTTCCTCTGGTCCTCTGTGCCCACTGTTCCTTTGTTCCCACTGTTCCTGTGGTCCTCTGTTCCCACTGTTCC